GGTGCTAGATGCAGAAACTAAAAAACCAATAACCGATGCTGAATATAAGCTATTTAAAAAGGATTCCAGTGGCAACTCTATATTGATAAAGGAGGGAAATACCAAAGATGGAGTGACCTTGAATGACCTGACCGGCAAAGACAACTATGAAATTCAACTGAAATCAGACGACTACCTCAATGCTGATGAGAAAATTTCTGTCAATTATTTCAAGCCCAATAAATCTGAAATCTTAATGACTAAAAAAGGTTCTCTAGATAAGGATAGTGCCAAACTTTTAGTAAAAACACTGCCTGCAAATCTCAACTGATGGTACAAAGGAGAAAATACTTCAGGGAAATAGCAAAGACCCGATAGAACTAAGCAAACTGAAAGATGATTCGAAATATGAAATCAATATAAAATCCAATGGCTTTAGTGAAAGTCAAGGACAATTTGAAATAAAGAACAACAAACTCTCTAAAAATCAATTTCTTTTAGACCCCATTAAGTCCTTAGATATAGATAGTACTCGCATTATTCTAAAAGATAAAAACAACGGTGAAGAAGTAACAGATTCGAAAAATGAAATCTATGATATAACTAACGGCAAGAGGGAACGCATTTATGCTAAACTTTCAGACCTTAAAAGACTCAACAGTGATGGTAAATATGAAATTAAGTTTCAGAAGGATGGCTATAAAAACTTGACTGACACTTTTGAGATTAAAGATAAAAAAATGTCGAAGAATACATTTTTCATTGGTCAAGATGAGTCTATAAGACCTAAATCAAATCAACTAAAAATAAAAGCCATAGACAAAAAAACGAAAGAACCTATAAAAGGGTTCAATTATGATTTATATAAAGTAGGCGAACAGGATTTAGCTTTTGTGGAGTCTGGCAAAGGCGAAGATAAAGCTATTATTCGAGACTTATTGCCTAATACAAACTACGAAGTTACTGTGCATGCGCCTAAGTATTATCGAAAAAAAACTAATGTATATTTTACCGGCGATTCAGAGCTCATTGTAGAGTTTGATTTAGATCCTATCGATTTCAATCCGATACTTCTCCCCCTCGTGGAATTTGAGTTTGATAGTTTTACGTTGACCTCAGAAGCAAGACATATTATAGATTCATTAGTAGTGCCTGTATTGATAGCCAACCCAACCTTGAAAATAGAACTCAGTGCACACACTGATAGCCGTGGTACTGATGAGTATAATGAATCCCTAAGTCAACGAAGAGCGGAAGCTATTCGGTTCTACCTCATAGACAATAAAAAAATATATCCTGAAAGGCTCACTAGCAAAGGATATGGAGAATATGTCCCACTAGCCCCCAATGAAAATCCCGATGGCACCGACGACCCAGAAGGCAGACAGCGCAATAGACGCTGTGAGTTCAGGATATTGCAGGAAGAGTATGACCCCTATTAGCGCCTTATTGTCAGATATTAGAAGTCAGATATTAGATTCTTATTAATTTCGCACTTTGGCATAATGAAGATTAATTATTAGAAATGGCATTGATAGAAGTATTACTCCCAGCTATGGGAGAAGGAATCATAGAAGCTACGCTCATCTCGTGGATGAAAAACGAGGGAGAATCTGTAGCTATAGATGAGAATCTAATAGAAGTAGCTACAGACAAAGTCAATAGCGAAGTTCCATCGACCGCTGCGGGGGTATTGCATAAAAAATTGTTTTCAGATAATGATGTGATAGGTGTAGGGAAACCTTTTGCTATCATATCTACTGGCGGTGAAGAAGAACTATCTCCTGCTCCCATTATCTCAGAAAAAATAGAAGAGAAAAAAGTAGAAGAGCTCGTAAAAAAAGAAGTGGCTCAGATAGAGTCCAATATAGCGCCTCCTATTGCATTGACTAGCAATGAAGATAGATTTTATTCTCCGCTGGTGATTAATATTGCGAAGGAAGAAGGTATTTCTCAAGCAGAGCTTGATAGTATAACCGGCTCTGGCCAAAGTAGTCGAGTAACCAAGGATGACATACTACTCTATTTACAAAACAGGAAAAGTGGCTCGCAACAAAAAACAATACTTCCTTCTCCAATAAATACAAATATAGAGGCGGATAATCAAAAAAATGCTCTTCAATCTAGTCCTGAAAAAACGAATGCTGCTATTGATTTCGGACCTAACGTAGAGGTGCAAAAAATGGATAGAATGCGCAAACTAATAGGGGAGCACATGATAAAATCTGTACAAACCTCTGCGCATGTATGCAGTTTTGTAGAAGCTGATATGACCAATGTAGTGTTATGGAGAAATAAAGTTAAAACTAAGTTTAAAGAAAAATACGGAGAAAATCTAACCTTTACGCCTATATTAATAGAAGCTATTGCCAAGGCTTTAATAGAATTCCCTATGATTAACTCGTCTATTGATGGAGACAACATCTTACTAAAAAAAGAAATCAATATTGGGATGGCCGCTGCTCTTCCGGATGGAAATCTGATAGTGCCCGTCATCAAGAATGCCGATATGCTCAATCTTTTAGGGTTAGCTAAAAAGGTGAATGATTTAGGACAACGCGCTAAGAAAAACCAGCTAAAGCCTGACGAAATTCAAGGAGGCACCTATACTATGACTAATTTGGGTTCCTTTGGAAATCTATTCGGCACTCCTATCATCAATCAACCGCAAGTGGCTATACTCGGAGTAGGGGCTATCATCAAAAAACCAGTGGTGGTAGAGTCCCCTGAAGGTGACACGATAGGGATTCGCTCCATGATGTATCTATCGCATAGCTATGACCATAGAGTAGTGGACGGTATGCTAGGCGGCACTTTTGTAAAGAGGGTAGCAGAAATACTGGAAGGGTTTGATGTGAATAGAGATATATAATTCATAGGAAAGATTCCTTTTGGGAATGCATCAAATTTAATTTAAGGTGGTCATTTCTAACCTAAACGAAGCGGCACTAAACTAATTTTTATAGAAAAACATTTATTGCCCCCATGTCTACTATTCAAGAATTTATTATAAGTCACAAGAGATTAATCCTCAATAAAAAACTCAAGGTTAGAGAGCTTGATGAAGAAAGCAAGGGAGTATTTGTCGCCTTTGTAGATGAAGGGAATGAGTCCTATGATGTTCACGTTTCTATAGATGATAAAAATGAATTAGTAAAACAAGAGTGCGATTGTGAGAATAAAAAACCATGTTTACATCAAGTATTTTTAGTAGAGTTTATTTCAAATAAAAACAAAATTTCTAAAGGGGCAGAAAAGAGAAAAACAACTAAGAAAATACTGGAACATCACACAATACTAGATAAACTTGATGAATGTACTGTGAAAGATTGGCTCAAGTCTATGATGGATAGCAACAAATCACTGAAATATGAGTTTATGCTAAATTTTAAAGAGAACTCGTATACTCTAGAAAATATAGAACAAAATTTAATAGATGCGATAAGCTCTACAACGAATAATAGAAAAAAATTAGACCAATTGCAGATTAAGAATCTACTCCATCTATTTGACAAAATAAATCAACCGATCTATGATAAAATCAAAGAATTTAAAGATATTCAGGAATCTGTTTTGTTGATAATAATGATTTCAAAAATACTGAACAGTCACTACAATTCAATTAAGTCAAATTCAAAAAAATACGAATCCTATTTAGATAATTTATTCCCACTTTTAAACGAATCATTTATTAAAGCTCCCGTTGAATTGTTTGAATCTGCTATCGAATTATTTATTCAAAAAACGAAATTAGAACGGAGTATAAAAACACGCTCATTTGAATATTTGTATTCGCTTCCTGATAGTTTAGATATGAAGAAAAAACTAATTTTGAAAAGCCATTTAAATATGATTGAAAAATCAAACCCAAATTCAATTTCTTATTTTACTCGATCTAATTAATATTTTTTTTGAAAGCATACCTCACTCTTCTCCGCCACGTTTTACCGCATAAAAAACTTGTTTTTTTATTCGCAATATTTAGTGTATTGACTGTTCTATTTTCCCTAGTCAGCCTCGTCATGCTAGTGCCCTTTTTAGAGCTCCTATTTGATAAAACACCCTTGGTGCTTTCACAGCCTAGCTTTAGTTTTTCTAAGACTTATTTTATAGATTCATTTTACTTTTTTCTCTCTACGCAGATTCAGCAGAGTGGAAAAGTAGCTGCCTTGGCCTTTTTCTGTGGGGTAGTGTGCATCGTGTTTTTATTAAAAAATCTATTTCGATATCTCGCTTTATATGTACTAGCTCCTCTTAGAAATCATATGATTTATGATTTACGTGATGCCATGTATTGTCGACTTGTCAGGCTGCCTATCTCTTATTTTCAAAAAAACAACAAAGGGGATATTTTGACGAAATTTACTTCTGATTTATCTGAAATAGAATATAGTATTATCAATACCTTAGAAACTTCTATCCAGTCTCCTTTGAATATCATTTTATTCTTAGCGGCTATGCTTAGTATGAGTACTAAACTAACTTTTTTTGTTTTTGCTATGATATTGTTTATGGCACTATTTATAGGTCGTATTGGGAAAAGTTTGAAAAAAGAAAACAAAGAAGGTAAAGAGGTGACAGGCCGTCTAACCTCTATTCTTGATGAGTCCATTTATGGAATCAAAATTATTCAAAGTTTTTTTGTGCAAAATTGGATTTATGCTAAATTCAGTCAAGAAAATAAGAACTATTTTGAGACCTATAATCGCATGTATCGAAAGCGCGATTTATCCTCGCCATTGACAGAGTTCTTAGTTATTATCGTTGTCTGTATAGTCCTATGGTTCGGTGGTCAGATAGTCCTTACCAATCAAGCTCTAAAATTGCCTGGTCTTAACGAATCAACATTCATAGCCTTTATGGTCGTCTTTTCACAACTTATACCTCCTGCCAAAAGCTTTTCCTCAGCCTTTTATGAGATCAAAAAAGGGATGGCTTCCTATGAACGAATAGAAACCATATTACAAGCCGAAACTATAGATTTAAGAGCAGATAAAGACAACATCTCTATATTTAAAGAATCTATCGAACTGAAGGGTCTAAGCTATCAGTATGAATCTTCAGATAGTTTTGCTCTGAGGAATATAAACTTCAAATTTGAAAAAGGGAAGAAATATGCACTAGTAGGACAGAGTGGCGCTGGAAAATCAACGCTACTCGATCTTATTTTGGGCTTCTCTTCGCCTTCCCATGGTTCTATTTATATAGATGGGAGCTCTATCGATGAACTGGCTCTTGAATCCTACAGAGCTCTTTTTGGATTAGTGACTCAGGAGGCTATTTTATTTAATGATACGATAGAAAACAATCTCTCTTTTGGAATAACCGACAAAGCCAAATCAGATCGGGCTCTAACGATAGGCAATGCACTAGAATTCGCGCAGAAAATCTACCAACAGCCTATAGGCGAGCGTGGCGGAAAACTAAGTGGTGGCGAAAAACAACGATTGACTATCTCTAGAGTGGCTTATCGCAATCCTGAAATCGTACTTATGGATGAAGCCACCTCTGCGCTCGATAGCCAGAACGAAAGTGAAGTACAAGCAGCACTAGATGAATTGCTCAAAAATAAAACGAGTATCATAATAGCACACAGACTCAGTACGGTTAAAAATTCGGACTGTATCGTACTCATGGATAAGGGTGAAATCAAGAACTTTGGCACACATGACCAGCTCTATGCATCAGACGATTTGTATCGAAAAATGGTGGATTTGCAGAGTTTGGGCTAGACCATAAAACATGATTCATGTAAGCATGAAAAAAAAATATCTATTTCTTTTTGTAATTTTATTGATAGTCTTTTCTGCTTATATTTCCTATTATTTTGAATTTTCAAATACGAATCAACTCTATAAAAGCCTCAGGTTAGATGGTCATTTAGATAAATCTATTTTCACACTGGCACTAGATGGCAAACGAAAACTATGCAAATATACAACCGTCCTGACCATAATCGATTATACAAAACCTTCTACATCTAAGCGATTATTCCTACTAGATCTCTGGAATGAAAAAATGATATGCAATACCTATGTGGCTCACGGGAAAAATACAGGAGAGAACTATGCCACTATATTTTCTAATGAAAATGAATCTCATAAATCAAGCTTAGGATTTTATGAAACTGGCAGAACTTATTATGGAAAACATGGCTATTCTCTCAGGCTTAGAGGACTAGAAAATGGAATCAATGATATGGCCGCTCATAGAGCCATAGTTGTGCATGGCGCTGACTATGTCAGTGAAGAATTCATCAAAACACATGGCAGATTAGGTAGAAGTCATGGATGTCCAGCGGTACCTATGGATATGCATAAAGAAATCATCACTAAAATAAAAAATGGAACTTGTCTATTTATTTTTGCAGATAACAAAGACTATAAAAAAAAGTCAGTGATTTATAAGCAAGACTATATTTTATGTAAGCAAGAGAGAGCAAGTATAGACTAAAACATAAGAACAATTTTAAAAATAGTAGTTAAACTATTTATTGTAAAGAACTATAATGAAATTACTAAAACTAGAATATGTATTCATTTTAAATTATATTTGAGATTGATTTTACCTTTGAATATCAGATGAAATGAAAAAGATTTATATAATTATCATCCTCGCTCTAGTGAGCGAAGCATCTTTTGGACAATCTAAAAAAGAACTTGCCGAGCAAAACCTTCAACTAAAAAAAGTATATAACGAGCTAGCTATAGAGAAAGCAAATCTTGAAAAGCAAAAGAAAGAAATAGAAGCCGAGAAATCTCGCCTAGCAATAGAGGCCAAGACTCTTGAGAAAGAATTTCAACAAAAGAAAAAAGACTTAGAAAAAACAAAAACGGAAGTCACAGAGACAAAAAAACAGGTAGAACAAAGTGCTGTAATCATAAATGAAAAATCAAAAGAGATAAAAGTAAAAGACGAAGATCTATCTGCTTTAGCTGAAGCCAAAAAAATCTCTGATCTCGAAGCAGAAAACAGAAAATCTACCCAAAAATTATTAATCGTTGGACTCAGTTTATTATTTCTAGTTGCTGTTTTGCTCCTTTATTTATTTATCGCTAGAAAAAAGGCGAGTAAAATTTTAGAAGCAGAAAAGAAAAAATCAGACACTTTACTTTTAAATATTCTTCCCCAAGAGATTGCGGAAGAATTGAAAAACACATCCAAGACGTTTGCTAGAAGATATGAAATGGCTTCTGTCATGTTTGCCGATATTAAAAACTTCACAAAAATTAGTGCTACTTTAAGCCCAGACGTATTGATTGATGAGTTAGAATATATGTTTGGCGCATTTGATCTGATTATACAAAAATACAATATCGAAAAAATAAAGGTGATAGGTGATTGCTATATGTGCGTAGGAGGTATCCCACTTTCCAATACGACAAATGCAGATGACATAGTGAATGCAGCCTTGGAAATACAAGAGTTTATGGCAAATATGAAGAAAGAAAGATTAGCGAAAAAACAACAAGTTTATGAATTGAGAATTGGTATCAATACGGGACCAATTGTAGCAGGCGTTATTGGCAGTCTCAAGTTTGCATATGATGTATGGGGAGATACTGTAAACCTAGCCTCTAGAGTAGAAGCGGCAGGAGAACCCGGTAAAGTAAATATTTCAAGTTTTACCTATGAATGTATAAAGTCCGATTTTCCTTGTATTCATAGGGGTAAAATAGACGCCAAGGGAAAAGGAGCTGTAGATATGTATTTTGTAACAGGTGCTGCTTCTCATAAACCAAAAATTGTTGATCAAAAGCAACCTCAATCAGCCTAATTAGTTCAGTAGCTAAGTGATATTTATAATTCCATTTAAGAAATTAAACAAAAAACTCTTGATGTAGTTTTGGAATCTCTACAAAATCGTAGCCTGATTTTACAAGCTTTAATTTCCAGTTAAATTGAACATCTTCCTCACCGTGCACTAAAAACATTTTTTCAACCTTTTTAGGATCTTGGCAGGATAAAAACTGAAGCATATCAGAATAATCTCCGTGTGCAGAAAAGGACTTTATTTTTTTTATCTGTGCTAATTTATTAAAATAACGACCAAAAATACGAACCTGTGGCTCATCTTGAAGGAGTCGAGCGCCTAGGCTATTCGGCTCACAATATCCTACGATTAATATAGTGTTTTTTTCGTTCTCTAAATTGTGTGCTATATGATGCTTAATTCGACCAAACTCAGCCATCCCAGATGCAGAAATGATAATACAAGGGTCTTTATATTCATTGAGGGCTTGGGAATCCACCTTCTCGCTTACATATACTAAGTTTTTAAAATCAAATGGATCCTCATCTTTTTCCATCACCTTTAATATATGCTTGTTAAAACACGCCTTATTCTTTTTGGTGATTTCCGTGGCTGCTATTGAAAGTGGGCTATCTACAAAAACTCTTATTGGCGGGAGTTTTCCTGCTATGTCTAATTTATTGAGTGCATAAACAATCTCTTGGGTTCTTCCTACACTAAAGGCAGGTATAATTAACTTGCCTTTGCGTTGTACGCATGTTTCTTGAACTATGTCATAGAAGATATTTTCATTCAAAGCGGCATCATCATGCAGAGAATCACCATATGTGCTTTCACAAATGATGACATCGGCCTGAGGAAATTTCTCTGGGTTTTTTAAAAATGGATGAGAATAACGACCAATATCACCCGTAAAGCATATGTTTTTTGTCTTTCCTTTATCTGTTATCTTAAGATTTACAGCGCAACTGCCTAAGATGTGTCCCACTTCGGTATACATGCATTCTATGCCAGGAATAACTTCAAAGTAATGATTCAATTTTCTATCTACAAATCTAGTGAGTGCTATTTCAGCATCCTTCATTGTATAAAGAGGTTTTAGGGGTTCCTGATCAGAAGATTGTCGTCGTTTATTAATAAATTTAATGTCCTCTTCTTGTATTTTTGCGCTATCCTTCAGTAGAATTTCAGCCAAATCAGCTGTAGCGGGAGAACAGTAGATGGGTCCAGTGAAGCCTTCTTTCACCAATTTAGGCAGAAGCCCAGAGTGGTCAATATGGGCATGAGACAATACCACGGCACTTATCTCCGAAGGTTCAAAACCAAAATCTTGATTGAGTTTTTGTAGTTCTCTGCCCCCTTGAAATAATCCGCAGTCTAAAAGAATTTTTCTATTATCTGATAAAGTCAGGATGTGCTTACTTCCGGTGACAGTTCTAGCGGCACCGTGAAAGGATAGTTTCATTATTTACAATTTATTTTATCAGTCTGACCTCCGTTCTTCGATTCTTTTTCAAATCTTCATTTGAACAGTCATAATTATTCGCACCATCACAGTGACAATTATTGGCAGGTTTTTCCTCTCCAAAATATCGCCCTATAATTTGAGACTCATTCGCTCCTCTAGAGAAGAAAAGTTTTATAGCTTCTGCCAATCGTTGTCTAGATAATACTAGGTTGACTTTAGCATCGCCTTGACAGTCTGTATGAGAACTGAGCTCCAGTTTATAGTTTGGATTTTTATTGAGTTCTTTCACTACATATTGAATCTGCTTTTCTACTACATCCGAAATATACCACTGTGTCGTTTCATAATAAATCGCAAACTTATCGCTCATTTTTTCCTCTACAATAGGGGACTGCTCAGTTGCAGGCGCATCTATTTTTTTCTCGGGTAGATCGCTCGTCACAAAAATCTTATTTTTATCTGCTACAAACTTAATAACCGAACTCACAAAACCTAATTCCGGTACTTCCATTTTATACTCTTCATCTAAATATAAGACCACTTGGCCTATACCTGCCTCATCGGTGTAGCCAGAATAGTTAGTGCAATCTGCCGTATTGGTGATTTTATAAAACACATTCGGATAGGCATTTTCAAAAGGATGAGATAAAAGGGAAAATGTAACAAAGTCTTTAGGAAGATTTCTTCTAGCTATTAAATTTAATCTAGTCTCAAAAGGATAAAGACTCGTATCCACCAATTGATGTTTATCTCCAGATACTACTAGTTTTTTATATCCAATTGGTGATACTGAAGCTGTAATCTGACCTAATTGATTGGTCTGCATTTCTACTTTTTCCGAAGGAATAGAAACCTTCAGACCGCTCACAGGTCTATTGAGTTCATCCTTTACCGTGACTGTAGTCTTTATCTTATCAAAAGATTGTTTATAAATTCTATCCGAATTTTTCTCACATTCATTTAAATATCTATTTGATGTAAAGTAGCCCACATTTTTCTTTTGGTGATAAAACAAGGCATAATCATCGTTTACAGAATTAAAATTATTTCCCAAATTATAGGTTCTATTGAATCGATTTCCTTTTCCTCTCACACCTGCATAGATATCCAGATTTCCTAAACCATAGTGGCCGTTAGAGGCAAAAAATATGACCTTATCATCATAAATCGTAGGAAAACACTCATCTCCAGGCGTATTGACATATGTGCCAAGATTCTTAATATTCTTAATTTTGGAATCATTTTCAATTTCCCCGATCCATAAATCATATCCTCCTAGACCGCCAGGCTGATTGCTAGAAAAAATGAGATGCTTTTCATCACTCGTGAGCATAGGATGAATATAGTCAAAACCACCTTTATCTATCTCTATTTCTATAGGAGTATATCTTTCCCAGTTTTTACTCTTTTCATTATCTCTTTTAGAAAAGAAAATATACATTCTCTTTTTGTCTTCGCTTAATCGCGTTGAATATGCTTTGTCTCCACCTTTATTTATTGTAAATGGGCCAAATCTATGACCCTCCGACCGATTAGGTTGCGAATTCCGTTTCACATCGAAAAACATAAAGTCATTGCATGAATATTTATAAGACAATTGTTCCCTAAAATCTAAAGGCCGGCTGCTAGTTTTGCAGCTCTTTTTTGCATTTATAGTATGAATAAGATTATCATCCATAATATAGGGATAATACTCCGTCTTATTAGATTCATAGCCCATAAGGACTGGCTCTTTGATAGGCCGGCTGTATATAAACTTATTACTCTGACCTCCTGGAAGAAGATCTGATTTCACGCAAGTAGGGCATAGATTTATATATCGGATGAATGACTCCTTAGCTAGGGCGGTATAGCCTGTCACAGAGTAGAGATGATACATGTCAAAGTGATAATTCATGCTATCCTTCATCACTTTATTTGCCTTTTCCATATGGTAGATAGACGTCTCATAATCATTTTGATTATAATAGTTTTTTCCTATTTTATAATGCAAATATTCATTGTCTGGGTCATTTTCTATCGCAGTCTTGTAGTGTTTAATGGCCTTACAATATTTATAATCTCTCTCCGCCTTTAAAGCTTTCTGTATAGTAGCATAATCCTGCCCTAGGAGGTTTGATAATGAAATACAAAGGAGTAATACGTAAAAATAAATCTTATTCATATCGTTTTTAAACTAATGGACAAATTTAACAATTTATCTTATAAATGAGTGTCTTTTTAGGCAGATGAGGTCTTTTTCTATATTTTCAAAGGTGATATTTTGCCATTTTCGTGGTTAAGTTATTTTTTGATTACCAATCACTAGTGATATCTAGAATAGAAATGGCCATGTATTCATTCCTTAACTCCTTGCCCATTATTAAATCCACAATTGTAATGAATAGGATTAAACTTAATCCCATTCCACTTTCCCGCTATCATTATATCTATTTAACTAAGTTCTGAAGGGAGATTAACTCCAAGTCTCTACTTTTGCTTTTAAATGTCTGCATTTAAGCGCTACTTTATAAGATTGTCATACGATGGCACCAACTTCTGTGGCTGGCAAAATCAGTTAGCACAAGAGTCTGTCCAAGGGGCTATTGAAGCGGCATTAACAACTCTATTTAGAACCCCACAAAAAATAGTGGGCTGCGGCCGAACAGATACTGGGGTGCACGCAGATGATTATTATGCTCACTGGGATTATGAAGGAATTCTTGAGGAATCAGTATGTATCAAACTAAATTCAATTCTTCCGAGAAGTATAGCTATAAAAGAAATCTTTGAGGTAAAGCCAGAATACAATAGTCGATATAACGCCACCAAAAGAACCTATCACTATTTTATTCATACGCAGAAGAATCCCTTCCGCAGATTATACAGCTATGAATATCCCCATCATTCGCTTCGTCTAGACCTTATGGAAATAGCAGCCGAAGAACTTTTAAATTATTCTGAATTTCTACCACTCATCAAACTCGACAAGGAAAAAGGCAAAACAAAATGCACTCTTTTCTCTAGCAAAATAGAGCGTATCGAACCACACTACTATCGGTATGAAATATCAGCTAATCGATTTCTTCACAATATGGTACGAAGAATCGTAGGTATGCTCATACTTATTGGTAGAGAGAAATTAAGTCTAGATGAATTTAGGGAGAGTATGCAGCATCAAACCCCAATGCGATTAATCAACCTAGCTCCATCGAATGGCTTGCATTTAGTTCATATCGAATACCCCTTTTTAAATCATGCAGAAAACTAAAAGTCTTTTTAACCACATAGTACACGAAGCACTTCCCTATAAAAATTGGTTTATTGGGTGCTTTGTTTTAGCTATTATCATATCGGGACTCACACCTATTCGGCCTTATATTTTACAGCAAATTATAGATCTCGACATCAAATCGGGACAGAAAAAAGACTTAGTTTTTCATACGAGCATATTGTTTGGACTTTTGATTTTAGAGTCTTGTCTGCGGTATGTGTTTGTATACGCTACATCTTTTTTTAGTCAAAATATAGTTAATAATCTAAGAAAAAAAGTCTTTTCCCACCTTATGCGCTTGCATGTGCAATATTATGATGAAACACCTGTAGGTAGGCTGACCACCAGAACGATTAATGATGTTGAAACCATTAATGAAGTCTACTCTGATAATTTTTTTACGATAGTATCCGATATCCTGACGATCATTTTTGTACTAGGTTTTATGCTTTATACCGATGTGACCCTGACACTTATTTCTCTTGTGACACTGCCTTTCCTATATATAGCCACCTATATCTTTAAAGAAAAAGTAAAAGTGGTCAACGAAAAACTAAGAGATAAGATAGGCGAATTAAATGCCTTTGTTCAGGAACATCTCATGGGATTTAAAATAGTCAAAGCCTTTGCTGCAGAGGAAAAAGAGGAAAATAAATTCAAACAGATCAATAACGGATTCACTGCTTTAAACATCAAAAGTATATGGTATTACTCTTGGTTTTTCCCTGTTTTAGAAACCCTAATTGCTATCAGTATTGGTCTTGTAGTTTCTTATGTAGCTGTTCATAGTTTTGAGACCAAAGACTTATCTGCTGGTGTCATTACTTCCTTTCTGCTCTACCTCAATCTGCTCTTTAGACCTATGCGATTTATAGCAGATAAATTTAATTCCATCCAAATGGGGTTCGTAGCATCAAAGCGCGTATTTGAGCTTCTAGATACGCCCAGCTTAGAAGAGAACACCGGCAAATTAAAAGACCTGAAATTAAATGGAGACATCTCTTTTGAAAAGGTGGAATTCTCCTATGTCAAAGATGTCGAAATTCTGAAAAAAATATCCTTTCATATCGAAGCAGGCCAATCCTTAGCTATAGTAGGCGCTACAGGGTCTGGAAAGACGAGTATCATCAATATTCTCAATCGGTTTTATCCTTTTCAATCTGGGACTATATCCATAGATAAACGTAATATTCTAGACTACGATTTAGACTTTCTAAGATCACAAATAGCCATGGTGCTGCAAGATGTCTATCTCTTTTCTGGAAGTATAATTGATAATATTATCATTGAAAACTCCTCTGCCACTAAGGAGGACATTATTGACATGGCTAAACAATTGGAAATCCATGAGTTCTTTATGAAACTTCCTGGGAACTATGATTTTGAAATTAAAGAACGAGGCAATTCACTATCGCATGGTCAAAAGCAAATCATATCACTTTTTCGCGCTATAGCTAAAAAACCTAGCATCTTGATTCTAGATGAAGCTACTTCATCCATAGACTCCAATACAGAATATTATATTCAGAAACTAATAGCACAGAGTATAAAAAATAAAACCTCCATAGTCATCGCACATCGCCTATCTACCATTATGCAAGCCGATAAGATTCTAGTGCTAGATCAGGGGGTCATCGTAGGAGAAGGAACGCACGATAGCTTGTTAAAAACGAATAGTCATTATCAAAAATATTTCGAAACCATAGAAACTCAAAACGAGTTATCTTAGCCAATTATAACTCCCATCTTATGCTAAAACATTTAGTCGTTTTTATATTATTGAATCTTTTCCTTTCTTGTCAGGGTCAGCAAACGCTGCTTCAAGCCGTAGCATTTTCAGATAAACTTAAAACCACAGAGACGAAACATCTCGTAGATGTGCGCACACCTGATGAATTTAGTGAAGGCTATATTAACGGTGCAAAGAATATTGACTGGAATTCTAGCCAATTTGAAACTGAACTAGGAAAACTAGATCGTTCGACACCTCTCTTCCTCTATTGTCTCAGTGGAGGCCGTAGCGGTAATGCTGCTAGAAAAGCGGTAGAAATGGGATTTAAATCTGTATATGCCTTAGAGGGCGGCACCATGGCTTGGCGAACAAACAATCTCCCTATGTTAACGCTAGGTAATATTAAAAAAGCAGGCATGACTATCGAAGAATATGAGGCACTGTATAAGGGTAAATCGAAAAAAATACTAGTAGACTTTTATGCAGACTGGTGCATGCCTTGTCAGAAAATGAAGCCCTATCTAAAGAAAATTTCAGAGAAAATGGCTAAAGAGGTGGAAGTCATCAGGATCAATGCTGATCACCATCCAGAACTCTGCCAAAAACTGGGTGTCTCAGGCTTGCCATACCTACTTATATACGTAAATGATCAAATAGAATGGAAAAGACTGGGCTATGTGAGTGAAGAAGAATTGACTAAACTTCTCAATAAATAATCTCAGATTGAAGGGTCTATTTTTTCTATTGATCTTAGCTCTTGGGTCTGAGGCAAACTCGCAAATAAAAACACTCATTCCTGCAGATGAAGAGGTGAATTTGCCCTCTAATGATGATAAAAGAATAGGGGTTACGACTACATTAGATGAAACCATACTTGCTAGAAATAAAATGGCAGGACTTTTTGCACGCCATATTGTAAACAACATGAATGCGGACAACTACTTTATCATAGACTCCAGTTCGAATTTCATAGAATTATTTGTCGTATACCCATGTAAAAGCTTTAATCTTAATGACATCCAAGCCCATCAGATAATAAACGAAGGCTTAATTAGCTCTACCATACTTATAAATTTTAAAGACTCTAGCTACGATATCCACCTAAAAGATTACCAGTGGGTCAATAAAAACAAGAAGCGATTCAGTATAGACGATATCTATAAAACCTATCAGAGAAATGATGATCTAGTATATAAACTCAAATATTATGGGATCTTAAAATCCTGTGAATATTCAATTGCCGAATCACTCAATAATATTATTCTTATAGTAGATGATGTGATGAAAGAGAAGTAGCTTAGACCAAATAATTATTTCGATGAATAAGCATCTCTTTAAACGCTAGTTTCTATACTACTCATAAAATAATGAGACGTGCGGGAATATGAATCAGCATTAAAAATGCTGATTTTGGGTTTAAAATGTATTTTTGTTTAACACTAGTCTGGCTACCATGTATAAAAAATTATTTGGCTTTCTTATCGCTTCTACTTTATTTATAAGCGCTTGTCGAGATACTGGCGAATCTGTCACTGGGCAACATTCCTCTGATGCAGACTCTCAGCTAATAGAAGCGTCCTTATTAAATTTTAGTGAAGAACTTGCTTATAATTATATAGACACACAGGTTGCTTTTGGTCCGAGAAAACCTGGATCTAAAGGTCACGAAGAATGCGCTCAGTGGATAGTTAATGCTCTTTCAAAACTCTCCGATACAGCCTATGTTCAAGAATTTGATGCCATTACCTTTGATGCTAAAAAACATAAGGGAAAAAATATCATAGGAAAACTAAATCCAAAAAATCCAAATAGAATACTGCTCTGTGCCCACTGGGATACGAGACCTATGGCCGATCAAGACCTCAAAGCACCACACCTCCCCATCCTAGGAGCTAATGATGCCGGTAGTGGTGTGGGTGTAATTCTAGCGATATTGAATTCTCTTAAAGAAAAACCTATTACCCTAGGTATAGATATTGTTTTTTTCGACTTAGAAGACTATGGTCAGCCGCAGAATAGTGGTTTACCACCTATGAAGGACGACTGGTGTCTAGGCTCGCAATACTGGGCTAAAAACACCAAACATACTGCCTTGCCGCGTTGGGGCATTCTGCTAGACATGGTCGGGGGAAAGGGTGCTACTTTTCTTAAAGAAGAATCGAGTGTGACTTATGCTGCCAATCTAGTCAACAGAGTATGGGGACATGCACAGTCTCTAGGCTATAGCCATCACTTTCTTAGCGAACCTATGGGCGCTATCACAGATGACCACTTATATATCAATACCTTGGCAGGAATACCAACCATAGATATTATTCATTACAAAGTAAACAATGGTGGATTTGCTGATTATTGGCATACTCACCTAGACAACATGCAGTCTGTAGATAAGTCCACCCTAAAGGCCGTAGGTAAGACCCTGCTCTATACAATTCATGAAGAAGATAAATATATGCAATAATTTTAATACATTTTAGTTTTCTATTTATGCGTATTCATTTTGTCCTATTACTTTTCCTTTTAAGCACGACATCTTATGGTCAGCGATATTTAGGTAATCACATAGGTGGCTATTCTGGGGTTTATGGTATCCAGGAGAATCCTGCTAGCTTTGTTTATAAAAAACCCAAGTGGGATATCAATGTTGTTGGCACGGGCTTATTTGCCTATACAGAATACGGTTACTTAAAAGATGAGACCTTTTTCTCTATGCTAAATAAAGATATAGTCAATGGAATGGATTCTATTCCAACCGGCTTTAATGCCGATGAGAGTTCTCTTTTCTACGCCAATACATATGATCAAAGTCTTACAGGACTCATGTTTCAGCAGACGATCCATTTACCCTCTTTTTGTTTTAAGATAAACAGATTCTCCCTAGGGGCTTTTTCCAATGTAAAACTCGCAGCTGATGCCATGGAAGCTCCTAACTTTTTCAATTATGGAAATCTCCAAAAACTCATAGATTTCGACCCTTATACCATCACCCCTTTCTCTGTCAATGCTATGGCATGGGGTGAAATAGGATTACATATCGGCTATGCGCATGAATTAGAAAATGGACATACGTTGGCTGTAGGATTAAATCCTAAATATCTACTCGGATTCGAGGCTGGCTACGTCCAAAATAAATCAGACTACAACTTCTATAGAGAGCGAGACACATTTTTCGCTTCTACTGCCAGTGTAGGTATGGGTTTCGCCACAGGAGCTTCTCGTACATCTAAAGATTACAATTTTGGTGTGCAGGGCACAGGACTAGGAATTGATTTAGGCGCAGAATACATCATACCCAATCCGGACGAAGATGAAGATAATCCTAGTCCGCATTATATGAAATTCGGTGTGGCGATAAAAGATCTTGGATCTATTACTTTTAATAAAAATACGGAGCAACATAACTATGGGGTCAAGGATGTGGACTTTGGTGTATTGAAAACAATCAATAAAAATCTAAGCCATAATTATGATATACTAAAACGCCTATCTGCTGCAGTATATCAGGGAGATTCGCTCAAATCAAAAGTCGCAGATGAGATGACGTTTTATACACCTACCTCACTTAACTTATCTTGGGACTATAATTTCCGTAAGAATTTTTTCATGCACGCCTTTATCAGTCGCAGACTAAAAACTATGGAAAGACAGATAGCTGCCCCCAATGTCATGGCCATAGGCGCACGCTTCGAACAGCGATGGTTAGAGGCAGGTGCCACAGTGTCTTTGACAGAAGACAAATGGTTCGGAGTTGGCACGTATATTAGACTTGGATTAGTGACCATAGGTTCAGATCACATCAATGCCCTCCTTTTCGGTCAGCCTAGACTGCGGGGTGCGGATATCTATATGAGTCTTAAAATCATGCCTTTCGGTAGCGGAAAATACAAGGATCCAGAGATGGACCATATTGGATATCTAGGGCGCCAAAACGCACAATCTAAAAAATATAGACGTCACTATACCCCGCAATAAATTGGTGGTGATTACTGGCGTTTCAGGCTCTGGAAAATCTTCCTTGACCATAGACACCCTCTATGCAGAAGGTCAAAGAAAATACATAGAGAGTCTATCGAGTTATGCTCGTCAGTTTCTCCAGAGAATGAATAAGCCCGATGTAGAATACATCAAAGGTCTCTGTCCAGCCATAGCTATCGAACAGAAAGTAGCTGGAGCTACCAATAGATCTACAGTAGGCACTATGACGGAGATATATGATTATCTGCGATTGATGTTCGCGCGCATAGGCAAAACTTATTCTCCTAAATCTGGAAAAATAGTTTCAAAAGATGAGGTCTCTGATGTCATTCAATATATTAAGGATCAAAAAGGAGCCGACAAATGGTTTATAGGATTTCAGCTCAAGATAGATAAAAATCTAGAGCAACAATTATCTGTATTATTATCCAAAGGCTTTAGCCGTCTTTATTGGAAAGATAGTTTTATTAAAATAGAAGAGGTTTTAGAGACACTAGGTGACTGGAAAAAAGAAAAACTTCTAACTGTAGTGGTACAGCGGTTTTCTGCCAGCGAAGGACTCACCGATGAACTCTACCAGCAGTTAGCAGATAGCGTTCAATCCTGTTTTGAAGAAACACATGGAGAATGTATACTTTTCAATCTCAGTTCACTAAAATCTACAGAATTTAATAATCGATTCGAAGCAGATGGCATTCTCTTCGAACAACCCAATCCGCAATTTTTCAATTTTAACAACTCCTACGGAGCCTGTCAGACCTGCGAAGGTATGGGCAATGTGCTGGGAATAGACGAAGACCTGGTCATACCAGATAAGACGCGCACCTTGTTTGAAGAATCTGTAGCTCCTTGGAAGGGGGCTAAATCAAAAGAATTTCATACAGCTTTTCTCAAAAAAGCGGAGGCCAATGGATTCCCTATTCATCGACCTTATCATCTATTGACAAAAAAAGAACTGGAACTCTTATGGGATGGAAATAAGTCCACCAAAGGAATCAATGATTTCTTTAAAATGGTTGAAAGCAATCTCTACAAAATAGAATATAGAATTATGTATTCTCGATATAGAGGCAAAAGTCTCTGTAAAGACTGCATGGGCCATAGAATCCGCAAAGATGCCT